TCAAATCAGAGGGAAGCTGAATAGGTAGCTCAATTGGTTAGAGCGTCATCTCGATATACCAAGGTTGTGGGTTCCATCCCCTGTCTGGGCACACACAAGAAGCAACCAATGAATTCATGAGTAAGTGGAACAAATCTCTCTCTCTCAGCCTCTCTCTCCCTCTCTCTCTCTCTCACACACACACACACACTTTCTCCTGCCACAGGACACTTGCAAACATCGCTGCCCTTCCTCGGACATTCATTTCTCACCAAGCAGGTTATGCTCATCATGGGGATCTCATGTTAGTGATCACTTTCTTCAGGGAGCCTTTCCCCTACACCCTGGACTAAGGGCTTCTTCTGAACTCCGTCATGATGTTAAGTAACTCTCCTTCCTGCTCCTGCCATGACCGACAGTGTATGACTGTGTGATTATGTAGTTGCTAAAACGTCCCCTTCATTAAATGGAAGCTACACAAGGCTGCTAGGTGTCTGGCTGTATCAAAATAATTTGTTGCCCGGCCAGCATGGCTCAGTGGCTCAGCGTAGACTTATGAACCAGGAGGTCACCATTTGATTCCCAGTCAGGGCACATGCCTGGGATGAAGGCTCGATCCCCAGTGTGGGGCCTGCAGAAGGTAGCCAATCAATGATTCTCTCTCATCGTTGATGTTTCCATCTCTATCTTTCTCTCTTCATCTCTGACATCAATAAAAAATATGTATATTTTAAAAAATTATTTGTTGAGGCAACAAATGAATTGACGAATACATTCTCCAAGAACCCAGCCTAGTCGCAAGGCCCCTCGGGGAGAAACCACTCCAGGCCCACATGTGGCAAGGGGCAGGGTCCCCAAAACTCAGGCCCTCTGAGAGATGACACGTGGTGACAGTCCACTCCCCATGCTCAGCCTGGCAGCCCACCATGCACACTCTGGGGAGTGTGGTCCGTGGACAGTAACTGTGCTGGCAGGCCAGTCAGGAGCTTGAGTCCCCGCTCTGCCCTGATGCCTCGCTGACCTCGCTGAGGGGTGTCTGCTCTCTGGCCCAGTTTGCTCAGAAGTAAAACTGGGAGGGAGGGTGAGGTGTCTCCTTGCTCCTCCACTCAGCCATTCTTCTGGGATGTTCTGGGCGCGCCAGCTGAATACCATGGCAATGCAGGCCCCCGAGGACTCCAGGGGAGCAGAGCAAAGGGGGTAAGGGCTGCCCAGCAGGAGACCTACCTGAGCTGTGGCCTTGACGTCTTTCTTGACCATGCCAGAGGTGAGGGCCACACCACTCTGGGAGATGGCCCGGTGGAAGAGATTCTTGGCCAGGGGAGATAACACCTGGGAGGGGAGCAGAGACGAACAGAGTTGAGGCTCACGGGGAAGCGTCTTCAAGAGCTTCCCTAGCTCCACCCGGGCCCATTCCCCTGGGCTCAGTGGACATAACAGGGCCCCGCCTGGCCTGTTCCCCAGGCTGACCCTGAGGCCCAGTTTCTGTAAGCAAAC